AAAAATGCATATCAAACAAGAGCTCGGGTCTTAAGAGGTTGAAGACTGGTTTAAGGAAACAGGAAAAGCTTCAAAGTATGTCACATGCAGTCCAATCATAGATCTTTCTTGTGAATAAAGCACCACATTTTCCAGAATATGGGCGTTTATTTCAAAATGTGTCATGCTGTACAGCTACACAGTAGTATGCAGGGAGCACTGGTCGGGCTGCAAAAAGCCATCATCTAGAAAAAGTTCTGAAAGTCTCTTGTCTGATACCTGGGTGGGAGCATTTCTTTATAAATCCCAGATGCTGAGAACTCAAACAAAAGAGCGCTTCATCAGCGACGGGGTGTAACGGATCTCGTTGTAACACTCCTCCTCTTCTCCTTTGCCCTCCCTCCACCTCCCGTCCTGGCCGGTGCGATGGAGCCACAGGACGAGCACCAGCAACGCCAGCAGCACCAAACTCATGGACAAGGTCAGCAGCACACCCTGCAGGATGCCCGAGGAACTGTCTGGAGCTGCAGGGAAAATACAGCACAGTTATCATAGAGGTTTGGTGAATAGAAGTAATTGTGGTGGGTGATCAGGGAGGAGCTCACGGCTGTAGATGGACAAGTTGACGTAGCAGTTCTCTGTTCCCAGGACGTTAGAGGCGGCGCAGCGGTACAGACCAGACGTCTGAGATGAAACGTTGACGATCTGGACGGAGCCTGACAGATCCCCTGGTAGAGAGGAAACACAATCACATTAATGATGCTAAAATACTGAGCAGTGGTGTAAATGTACTCATAAAACTCATTAGTTTACTGACTTTACTGTGCACATGTTGAGCTTCCTTGTCGAGACGAATACTTGTTCTGTGTGCTTTAGTTTGCTTTCCCTCCATTAGAGCAGATGTGACTTCATTTTTAATCTCTAGGATTGGATGCTTCTTTGCAAAACGAAGTTTGGAGGTTGTAGTTTATGCACACAGGCTTGTACCTTGGACTTTATATCACAGAACCACGTACTTTCTAACACTTTTGGACTGATGTTGTGAGAGTCATGCAGAGTGAATCCAAGTGCTGTGAGTCATGTAATGTTTTCTGTGGGACTTTTACCTCCAGAACCAGGGCCACCTAAAATACCTGCTCCCACTTCATATCTCTCCAACATTTTGTAGCTCAGCCCAACCAACAAAAAAAAGTCATGTGATCTTGGCTTCTGCTGCTTAAATTTTACCCATTCTTTTT